CTCTCTCTCTCTCTCTCTCTCTCTCTCTCTCTCTCTCTCTCTCTTTCACTCTCCATACGCCTGCAGGTGGTTGGAAGGCGCCAATGATCGGTGTGTAATCGGGCGTGGTTTGCTCCTTCTTTCCTATCAAACATCTATCATGACCTTATGCAGTTGCGAGCGCCGTAAAACCCTCTACTTTAAAAAAAAAAAAAACTTTATGTCCTTTAGCCATTCCCTAAGGGCGGACATTAACCATGTTCTTATGCGCAGTAGAATTGTCATTGTAAATGGGCTGATTCATCTATGTCATGCTCATTACAGGGAACGGCTGCTTTTCGTTTCCTAATCCTTACAATCGTCATTTTTCCTCTACTTCTTTTGTATGTTTGTCACACTCTAGTGACCCGCTCTTTCTGAGGTGCCTTGATAGTCGAAGCAGACTTTGTGCTGTTGAAGCTAGAGAGGTGAGCCCGATTCCCTGTAACGACTTCTCTGTTGATGTCCATCCCTTGGCGCTCATATGACCTTATGCAAACAACAAACATATTTTATATTCTCTCCTCCTTCGTTTGCTTGTATGTTAACCGCATGTATTCTAACACCTCTAGTCTTTGGCACTTGTATGACATTATTATGTTACAGGTGCCATAACACTCTTACTCAGAACTAAAACGAAGACGAAGTCTAGATGAGAGTGTCTGTGTCCATTGTAGTTGTGGTTGAATTACGTCACTACACGACTGAAATTCTATTTTTTTTAAACGTTCCTTGGCGGTAGATAGTTGGAGACCGTGCCACTGGTTTTGTCCTACATCTTTACTCTCACTTTGCTCTTTTTGTTCCCTCTCCCACCCCCACCCCACCCCCACAACATCCGAAAAAGAGGTACAGGGTCGATGTAATTATCATTGTCTCAAACGAGCGTCGGGTGCACTCCCAATTATATGTATATTATATAACTCAAGGTGCAGCCTTGTTTAGTCTGAAGGTCGGAACAGGACGGGTTTCCCAATGTACCAAAATGTCAGGAGGAAAAATTTCGTCATCTTTCACGCTTGACCTAGTTTATCGTCGTCACC